GTCTAATGTATTCGAATCACTGGGAAAATTTAAACATTGTCAGAAGAAGGCCATCCGTAGAATAATATTGAAATAGTATAGTGAATGTGTTTACGGAATAGAAAAGTAAATTCTCTTTTCGGCATACAAATAAGTGTATTTATGTAGCAAATGGCATCGAAATATTGAAAAAGGAGGATGTCGCGAACATTAGCGTACAAATATTTTCATTTTCTCTTCCTCCATTTCATATTGATAACGTGAATACGGGGATCAGACATCAGATTTATGGCGTGAATGTCTTAACGGAGAAAATAAACGCAAGTTGAAAGCTGTATGTACCTACCTGGAGCAGGGAAACGAATACACATAGCAAAATAAATATAACAAAACAAAAGTGTATTAAAATATAGCGTATATATTATGTTCTGCTTTTGTCTTGCGTAATATTTGAAAAATTTAACAGATTAGGAATATACTCCATTTCTATAATCTTTAATGTGTGTAATAATTTTCAATAAAAACGTTTACAATACTTTAGCGTTAGCCTGTAAGCTACACCAAGCAATCAATTTGTGCTTTTGTTTATATTTCAATGCAACGGCAACAGAAGAAAGTGGTTCTTTTTAATAGAAAGTGAAGACAGCTGCCCATGGTAAATGACAAAACCAGAATGGATATCGTCGTTGCCAACTACAAACAGTGTGAGTGAAAGTTACGTAGTAAGGAATAGTTCAGAAGATCTAATTGAATTATATTTATAGTGGAAAATGATAGTCTATGGACACAGGATTTTTAGTATCCTAGATAGAGGCACGGTTTCCGTGGAATAGTTCTTTAGCGACTCGATGAGAAAGCGGCTACTAGACCTTAAAGATTGCCGATGATTCAAGAGGTGAAATCGATAATGTAAGCGAAACGAAAGCGTAACAAAATAGTTAATCGCGTAGTTTTAAAATTTTTAAGTACCTACAACAAAAGCTCGGATACATGCGAACCACGTAGTCTCTCGATGGCAATGCAAACTCGATAAAAACATACTCCAATTAACCCGAGCCGAATTACACGCGCGGAGTGAAATAATTCGCTGTACAGCGTTCATTGTTCCACCTATCGGAAACCGCGGTGATACCGCGTTAATGCTCTCACGGCGATGTCTACGAATATGAACATCGATTTTACGAGAATAATTATGGGAGAACGTATAACAAATTCATCGCTAAATTAAACTCTGTCATTATTAAGGTAGATAAAGTATTATCATGACGACAAAGGAACGTGTTTCTATAAATTAGTGGCAATAACTACACCAAATAATACGTGTATCGCACATACATTATGTAAAAGCTACCTCAGAGATACCGAAAATATTTTACGTCTTGAGTTTGTACGATAAAGTATCGAAAGATATAAGTTGAAATCGAGAATTGTTTCTTTCTTGCAAGAAAAGCTTGATGTATTAATGTAATAAATAACTGAATTCCCACACTCCCGTATCTGCAGAAGACGAACAAACAACGCGAATATAAATTTGTTCTTCTTATGCCATGAAATATTATGTTCCAAAACCGATGACAATATTCGTAGAGCTTCGAAGTAAAACATTTAATGAGTGTTCTTATATTTTCTATTTTACTAGACTTAAGCTAGTTGGTTTATTAGGAGTACCAATTATATCTTACAAAGGTATTTTATGAATTATTTGAATGCATGTTATGCGGTGAACCAAACTGTTGAGGGAATTTCAACATTTTATGATATCATTACATTGGTCTTATTTGCAGAAGCAACCTAGCATAGATAATTCGATATTATTATTTAGATAATATGTTAGCTATTCGTTTTTTTTAAATAATTTACATACCTGATTACAGTCAAGTTTAAGCCCTTTCTTTATTTACGTTATAATTTTAGATAATGTAAAAATCACCAAAATCAATGTTAAATTAATAATAGGTATACTATTCACATATATTAAGTTCGACGTGATTCCAAATATAAAATTAAAATTAAATACCACATTTAATCCAATTTTATATCGATACATAATACCTAGCGCCGCAGTACAGCTGTTGTTGTTTGGTATTTGATATCGCATATTTAAGCGGCATATTCGGCACCGGACCGCAATCATTAATCATGACTACATTGTTAAAATACTGCTTGCACTGTCTCATAAATCTTGCGATATACCGATATATGGCGCAAAGTTCTAATTCCAGTGATAAATTATAGACTGTCCGAAGCAAAGTTCTCAAACATTATACTCGGGGAATACAGCCTTAATAATACACGGCCCTTATTCCCAAACTTTACAACTTGCACTGAAAGTTGTAAAATGTTCCGAATTTTATTACTATACATTAAATACTTATTTAAGACTAGAATGAATAAAATGGAGAGCGCACGTGAATAGAGCCACGCAGCAGCTTTTGCTGTTGAACAAATGGCCGGCCAGTAGCAGTGCTTCTTCCCCAGAAGATACACTGTTTTGCAAAAAAAAAACTGGCATAAAGTGGAAATATAATTTAAAGATTCATTTTTTATTTTAGTTCTAGACTCTGCACTCAAGAAACGACAATAAAGCGCCGTAAGTTTTTGTCCATTCCTCTACAAAAATTTACGATTTGGAAGTTTTGCATTTAATTTCATGAGTGAGATAGCCAGGCCCACTGTTTTCAGTGGTTGGAAATGCATCTGCAACCCGTCAAGTGTTGTAGATGTTCATGGGAGGGGTATTCGCTTTGCATCAGGTGAAGCACCTAGTCGCTTTTCAACTTTTCATATACAAAAGAACTGGAAAAAGAGGAGAAATTGCTCATTTATTGAGCAGTATAGCTTCAGCTACGCGCTAATTAAATTTCACTTAAAATTTAGAAAAATGGAAAATTTTTTCATCGCTGCGCGTAATTGAACCTGCGTCCACCGCACGCATCTGACGCTTTACACACTGAGCCAAACGGTATATCTTCACACCTACGGAAATCACGCATATATTGCTTAAAACGCAATTGAACGGTATTGAATTCACCATCTTCACACATACAGACAGGTTCGTACACAAGTTGATTATTCTATCCAGATTATGATTATGACGACTGCCTTCAAGATTTAATACCTTTAAAGCCATAATATGAAGGATATAATAAAACTAGGCACGAAATCCTTCACCAGGCCGACTAATTTTATAGCTTTACGACTTCAAACGCGCCGTAAACTAGTCTCAGCGTTTCCTACGCTTTGTTCCTACGACGTACTGCTCTGGGAGGGAATATTTAATCTCCAACATTAATAACCTCACCTGACCTTGAAATACGTGATTGCCTACGCGTTAAGCTGTAGGAGTTTATTTTTCTTTTTTTTTAAAACATTGCCCTTACTTCAGGATAACATAATCCTGTGTTGTAAGGACATTTTACAAACATAAATTTCACGCGAACAAACACCCAGATGCGAAACAACTATCTGTGGGTCACACAAATAGTTGTCCCGTGTGGGAATCGAACCCACGACCCCCGACGCCGAAGCCAATACCTTGGCAACTGCGCCACGGAGTCATCATCAGTTTTTGGATCTAAAGCTTAAGGAAAAAACATACGTATAATGCAACAGCAAAATTTTAAGGACTATAATTTATTAATATCTTAAAATTAATAAATATCTACTTAAAACTCAATAATAGGTACTACATCAAATTTGATTCACGTATTATAAATACTGTGCAAGAGTGCACCGTTTTCTGTTTCAGTCTATGAACTATGCGGGTCTATTTAAGTGACGCGGTTACTTTGTGCTCGGAATATATGTGTATGAGTTTTATTATGCAGTGTTATTTGGAGTTTTTATCCGTGCAGTAGAACTAATAAAAACTCCAAAGTAATTAGTGACCACCAGGATAGTGTGCAAAGTGACGTTGGCGCTGCTGACGTCACGATTTTTAAAAAGCGTAATGGAGGCCGTTCTACCTTATATACATTTAGAGGTAAAAAAGTAACTGTGTTTCTTATGGAGTCAATTTCTTTAATCGGACGTATTCTAACTCAACATCCAAGAGACTAAGATTCGTCGGATAAATGTAATAAGAGAGCGATGTGAAAACATTGTCCCTAATTTGTACTGACAAACGACAGTCCCACACAGAAATAAACATTGAGCGTCGCGCCCCGTGTAATTGAATCAAATTCGCGAGCAAAGGTTTGATATTCATTTCGGGTCTCCGCTCGGAATTAATAAGCGATGAAATTTTTCAGACGCCTCGCTTCCATTGCTACGCCGATCGCTGCTCTTGATCACACAAAGGGTTATTGGAGGAATTCCGAAATATCGAAAGCGGCGTTTGTTTGAAATTTTTCGAATTGAGAACGCAGATGGAGAGCAACGTGTTACATCGTATATTTAAGGCATGCAGGTATATGATATACAGATATTCAATAATACCAATTGAATTATAAACAATTTTAAAACATTTTGTAAAAGCTACCCTAACATTGAGGACAAGAATGTGTAGGAATGACTCTTGCTCCGCACTTGCAAGTCCTATGCTGCTGATTTTATACCTAAGTAATTTTATATACATCATTTAAAAAAGATAAACCAGACCGCAGAGTTTCCTTCAAGGGTTTATCTGGATCGCGATTGGTCTAATTTAGATAACCGGTGATAGTTTTTTTGACTTTCAATAAGAGATTAAAACAAGCTTGTATAGACAAAAGAAATTTGGAATTTGAAGTATAAAATAGGTTTGAATACATTTTTAATTATTTAAATGTCAATTTTTTTATTAAACATATTTTTTTAAGTTTTGATGCGTCGTGTAATTATTAATTTCTGGCACTAGCAGAATGTACAGCCTTCGCAATTTGTAATACCAAATCGTATTAAGTTATTTCCTACATTTTACTGTTTTACGAGTGATAAACTTCTTTGTGTATTTTTCGTGTTACATAAGTTAAAAATAATACCTAATAATTTTAAAACTACTCGCGACTTCTGCGTGGGTACATTCCTCATATACTACGTCAATGGCTAAAAACAAAGTGTCTATTCTTATGCAGCCTGATTTCTCTAGCCACAATATTTTTATTGATCCACACATCTAACGATAAGTCTTGTCGTCCACCGATTACTATCAATCTCCAACCGAACGTACCTGTGGCGTAAGCTGGCTCCAGGTCGTCCTCGTCGTCGGTGTGATGCCTGCTGGAAGCGCGCGAGTGCGAATGGTGCGGCACGCCCACGTGCACCGGCTGTATCGGCTGTTCGTAGTGCTTGTGGTGGTCGACGTACACGCGATGGTGGTGCGGACAGGGCGTCGGCGGCAGGTAGTCGGCGATCGTGCCGCCCCGCGTGAGGGTAGAGCCGGCGCTGAGTGTGCCACCGGCCGAACAAGACGCGAGGGCGCTCCGTACCGAGCCCAGATCGAGGGAGGGGCGCCGCGAGAGCTCGCCGAAACCCTCGCCGAATAGGGCGCTGGCGGGCACCGCGTGCCTGACCTCGTGCTGGTGGTGCGAGTGGCCGCCGTTTGAGGAGGAGTGGGGCGAGGCGGAGTGGTCGCGACTGTCCCGTGACGTGGAAGCGGTGTGGAGGATGCTCTCTTCGTGCGTCTCGAGCACCTCGCGGGCGGTGGGCGGGTTCGGGTGCACGTGCACCGCCGATGTGCCCGCTCGGCGCGGGCTCCGACCCCGGTCGGGCATCACCGACGACGCGGACCAGTAGCCCCACGCCATTTTGTATGTTTACTTCACAATTGTTCGTTCAAATTGCACAGTACGAATGCCGGGCGAGCGGACCGATGCGTGGTGGCTGTATAAAGGAACAGAAATCTCCCGATAAACGCATTGGCGATGAACCGCGTAGCCGAGTCGAGTAACGGATGAGGCGGGGAATTGGATTGGCTATCGAAACTTTGATCTCCTTTGACGGTTGGCCGAAAGAAAAATAAACACGTTGTTGGTACAATTATTTCGCTTATAATAATTTTAATAGATTTGCTAACGACTTTAACGTTCGGGACAACGTTCTTTAAACGGTATCGTGATTCGTTAGCAACGTTCCGATCTGTACACGTTTTCAATCCTCCTACTTTAGTTCTCAATCGAGCCCTTGATCGTGATTAAATATACGAATACCCATAAATGTATCCAACGAATCTGTTTTGTCATGCAAAGGTGTACGTGTACGATAATAGAGCCTATTTCATCAGTCATTGAGTTGATAGGATCGTCGCGGTCAGACAGCGCCAATGACACGGAAACTGCGTTGATATAGAGATAAACCGGATGCCGGCTCAATTCTATCCGTCCGCTGGGCTACACGACGGCGAAACTCAGCAACACACAATGCGACCGTAAACATGCTCCCTAATTATAAATAGCATCGTTATATTTCTATATTTATGCTAATGTTATAGAAACGGGATTTTCTCTGTTTGTACGTTATTATTTCTGGATGTGTTTTGTTATTATGTAAGAAGGTGGCAAGTGATCTGGCGGCTCACCTGATGTTAAGTAATAATCGCCACCCATGGACATTTACGACACCCTTAGGAGTGTATATGCTTTACGCAGTATATGTCATAAAACTATCACTTCACGCCGATCTTCTGTGAGGTCGTGTTACTTTCCCGGAAGTACCTGCACATACGTGCAACAGTGAAGACTGTTGCTTGTCCCTATCACAGTAATTTTCTTATTTCTGGATCTACTTCTAATTATGTGTGTAACTAATAAAAGTAAATTTGTTTCCTAAAGAAAATATATTGTCTGATTTAGATGAATTCCGAGGAAAAAGCCAAATGTTACAGTCGCCATGTGCCCCACGTTATCAGTTGTTAACGTACATAGCATGTCAAATTGAAGGAAACCTTTGTCTTTACGTAATATCTACTTGAAATATATGGGCTGTTTAATATCATTATGAATTTTTTAGAGTTCGCTTAAGTCTTCCGTGTAGTATCAGATTCAGTTTTTTGTGTTACGTAAGCGTGTACTATTTGGTGACGGAGCAGCGCTGAACAGCGGTCAGAGGATTAAGGGATTGTACCAATTTGGCTAATACTATAAATGACCATTGAACACGCATTGACCGTATTCGAAGCATGCCCAGCGCTTAGATTAAAACAACGTGCTCAAAATATTGTAACGTAAAATATAATCGCCGTTAATAATATGGTGTGATCAAGGTATTTGATGTCGTTATTTCAATAAATTGTTTCTGACCCTAATTTCCTTGATTGGGTTTTTAAATTGCCAGTTATTATTACTTACGGTCTTACGGCCGCTTTTAATATTCTATCAACAGATAGATTTGGTTACTAGAGATAGAATTTCGACGTAAGTATTATTGCGCTAATGTCAATTATTATGTATCGCTAGTAACGAAATCTATCTGTAGATAGAATGTTGAAACCAGTTGAAAAGGAAGAAAGCTCTGCACTGGCAGTTCCTCAGTTGTCTTTTCGTTAAGTAAATTGTTAGACAATCTAGTAATCGAACAAGAATATTTTACGGGGGGATTTCAAGTTAAAAAGGTATCATATACCAAATACACCTGACGTCACTTATCATTACACACCACGAAAACCTGATAATCGGTAAATTACGTGTCCATGGGCGGCGGTGAACATTTAACACCAGGTGACCCGCCTGCTCTTTAGCCTCCTTTTCCATAAAAAATTAATGTAAAAGAGACTACTAGTAACGCATTGATGAACATCATCTTTGCTAATCTATGGGTCACGGACACAAAGTACCTTCGTGTAATAAGCCTTACATAATCAAAAGTATCGTAATAGGAAGGTATAATTTATTACAGTACGAACATTTAATCAAATGCTTTGCTTGAGTATAAATTACTCTAATGATACGAAAGAAACGCAGTAAAAATTATCATTTTCTTGTTTTATAGCTTTATTATGCGGCAGTATTTTTATTATAATTAAAACATAATCGAATGGTTTCTTCTTCTACTAGCAAAGGCAAACAACAATTCCAATGTAAATTATAAAACGTAGATTACGTGGAATTACGAAATCCATGTATTTAAAATCATTGTAAGAAAAATCTTAATACCTTTTTTGGCGATAAAAAAAGGGCGACAATCATCTACGGTTAAATCGTTTAAGATATTTTAACGTCCCCATAATTTGTTGGAAGTAAATCTTTTCACCCCAAAAGGTGAGTTTTTGATCTTTCTGCATCATTTAAAATAAGTTTGTCGTGTTTAATTTAAAACTTAAGTAAAGCCTATGTCTTTTGATCAGTTAAGTAACAATAACTTTAGATGTATGAAATGATAACGATCTACGAGTTTCGTTTGTTCTTAAATTAAAGTTTACTAGGTTGAGTACAAAAATAAGAAAAACATAAATAACATTAAGTTTAGTGAATTTCTCCAGATGTAAAAAATTTGAAAATGTATTTATACGTCATTACTATTACACTGGTCTTAGTTTGTTTGAATCAATTACGTTATAGAGGTCTTAAGCTTTCGAGACCGATGCACGTATCGTGTAGGGAACTACACTCGCCCACTTCCCTGTTCCAAAGTCAACATGTAGCCGCGTATGTTAGATGTAAGCGGAAATCGAATCCTAATTCAAATATATAGCGGTAAAAAGATGATACTGTTGAAATTAACGATAACGTTGTCTTATAGGAGTGTTTTAAAACGTTGTAGCTTAAAACGGTGCACTGACCATAGTGCAGTGCAATTATTTAGTAATAAATAATTGCACTGCACTATGGTCAGTGCTGCTGCCCGCGACTACGTCCGCTTAGAATAGGCTGAAGGCATAACATTCAGACAGAAAGTCAGATATACATAAAAATATGTATATAAACTATAGCATACGTGTTATTCTATATGTATAAGCTATATTACTGTAAAGTTTCATTAAAATCCATGCAGTAGTATTTGCGTGAAAGAGTAACAAACATCCATCCATACATACAAACAACAAACTACTGTTTCTTTTACTAAATATATTAGCAATAGAAACAGAAGTGTATGTTTTTTTTTATCTTCAAGCTGTATTTATCAGGTATTGTTCTCATATTCACTGTGGAAACGCGGCGGCAGTCACATTCTTAACATTATATTGCAAATGGGACCGCTCATGTTAGGTGACTTCAAAAATTACTGCAGCTTGACGGATGATAAAAAAAAATTCTGATAAAAATTTCTTACATTTACGCGAACGTTACGTATTTATGGAATGAAACTATTTTTACGTATTATATCGCCTTTATTTTGGGATGGACTACAGACGAATTCAAAACTTAATGTTAGTTATATAAATTTATTAAACTAATCTTGGTAACCAAATCATTTTATGACGATAATAAATTAAATAAGGATTGGATCGAATTTGGGACATTCTCGAAAAAAAGTTTTATATATATTTTACTATAACTGAATCCGGTTTTATTTGCCTATTTTCTCTTTGTTTGTACATTAATTTTATTAATACGTGAAACATTCATGTAAACATACGAAATAATTACTTAATATTATTTTTTTCAATTGACTTTCAGTGCATTTTATGGTTTTTTTTATATTCCTTTTCTTTCATCTTACAATTTAACTTTTACTTACTTTACGTTAAAAATCTGTGTTGAACTATTTGAAATTACGCGTCGTGGGTATATCGCATCACATACGCGAGCTGTAATTAGCGGTGCCACTTATTTACGTAGATTAATAGCAAATTTGAATTGTAACCGTGCACCAGTAAACGTTTTGTTAAATTGGAAAAAGTCGATTTATTTCCTCTGCTAATACACAAAATACGCAACAATCTGTATAGTGAAGAAAAAAATGAACAACGCTCCATTAATAGCTTATAATACTTAGAGCAATTAATAAATTTTAAATCGCTCAATGCTAATTAAAAAGCCGGATATATTTTTTTATTTCATGTAAGACTATTTTCTTGTCTGGCCATCTAGACCTCAATCTTTCTCGAGGGTCGAGCAGATCGAGCTAAGAAGACGTCAATGACGAAAAGTGGACTACCACAGGCTGGGGATGAAAAGGAGTTCTGTAAAGTGTAACCGCACTTTGGCAGTAAAAACTATTCGTAAAACTACTTTGAATTAAACTCATTTATCATCTGGAGAAGAAAGTGATAAAATGTTAACAAGTAAGTAAAATAGGTTTATATATACCTTACAGCTTAACCCAAAAAGTTTCTAAAACTTTTTCGTTTCAACAACGCAGAACCTTTTCACTTTTCAGTTTCTATTCAGTGTTAAAAGGGTTAAGGATCTTTAAATCTTTACTCAACTGCTTATTTTTTTAAGTCCCAGAAGAAGGGACAAAAATTAGTGAGCTTAATGAGAAGTTTTAAACAAATTCAAGCTTGTCTTAACGACTTTTTATAAAGATAAAAATGTAGGTACTGTAGGTTTTAAGAAGATAAAATATATAGGTACTGTAGATTTTAGTCCATTGTCTATTTCGAAGGCGTGTAGAAGAACAAGCTGTATCATAGACTGAATAGCTTACATCACTAGGAGTGTGTTCTATATTAATCTATGGTTGTTTGTCTTTCGTCACTTTTGATATACTGTTAAGAGAGAGAGTAAGGTCAGGTTTGTATAATAATCTAAAATATATAATAAAACATTGAACGTTCCCCCAATAATTGTTTTATTAAACAATACACAAGCAACTTGGAGAGCAAAGAACATAATTATATCGCATTTCATATGAAGACGAAGAGCTAAGTAAAAAAAACTAGCCAGTTTTTTTACTAGTTAGTTTAATGCGAGTCGGACCCGCGCGCGAAGGTTTCTGTACCAATGATCTATATAAAAGCGGATGCCTATTGTATGGGAGCCCCACTTAAATATTTATATTTGGTTTTTAAGTATTTTTTCTTATAGTGACAACGGAATACATTATCTGTGAAAATTTCCACTGTCCAATTTTCACGGTTCATGCGAAACAGCCTCGTGGTGGATGGACAGACGGATAGACAGACAGACAGAAGCGGAGTCTTAGTAATAGTAACCGTTTCAACCGTTTCATCCTTTGGGTACGGAACCCTAAAAATGATTCGCTTATTTGCAAATACCAAAAATCGATTTATGGAAATTAGTCGCTCAAAAAAGGGAAATTGGAAATAAGGCACTGAGTGAAAAGCAAACGATGGAGGTTCGATTTAGGCGTTGGAATGTTCACCGAAGTTATCTCTTTGCAATATTGAATTTCCAAGCAATAGCGGATTACTTTTTGTATATTGTAAAAGGCGCGAACGGTTTTTTTGTGCAATGCTGCGCCATTGACAATGCTACGAGATAAAGGCAGAAGAAGAGGTTTGATTTCTCTGTCACGATGAACTACGAATATTTTTATGATAGGATATTGATGTATGAATGAAATATAATTTATTGTACACGAGAAAATATGAGAAAAGAGTAAAAGAATTACATAAAGGTACTATTGGTGGTCTTATCGCTTAGAAGTGATTTCTTCCAGACAACCACGTTACAGATGATACAATGACCAGTGAGATTGGGTTGAGGTCTACGCTATTGTAATGGTATATGTTTTCGTTTGACCAACAACAGTCTATTCATTTTACTATGTATTTACTTAATATACTACTGGCAGTTATCGATAGTCAATTACATGAAATTTTACTATGATAACGGCTTAGCAACTCTATGCTTTGAAGAAATTATACTGTACAGAAATAGGGAAAGAATTCTTTTCTTTTTGTTTTTTTTTTTTTAACATTGTCCTCACTTTAGTGTTATTCACTATCTTGTGTTGTAAGGACGTTTTACAAACATAAATTGCACGAGGACAAACACCCAGATGCGAAACAACTATCTGTGGATCGCACAAATAGTTGTCTCGTGTGGGAATCGAACCCACGACCCCCGACGCCGAAGCCAATACCTTTACAACTGCGCCACGAAATAGAATTGACTAGCTAACGTTTTAAATATAACTACCAATGAACGTATAAGTTAATCAGTGGATTACATTTAGTTAAATAGTAAGATAAGTTTGTCCTGTTCAAGGGAACTGCAGCACGTTTTGTGACGTTTATAAAGACAATCATATAATTTGACATAAATCTTTTAAGTAAAGGAAGTTTTTATACATATTCAATATGTATATACGTTTTGAAATGAATCTGCTAAATTTATTGCTGAGTCTGAAATGTGCCCGGTAACGAAATAAATGTTGATAGCTTTGGGGTGGATTATAATTAATTCAATAATTTTACCTAAGCTGTTTTTAAACTTAGAACATAATATGATACACATTACATGTAAATAAGTAAAAATTAGCGGCAGAGAAAGAATTTTTTTTTAATTAAATATTTTAAAGGAAACTTAATAAAGTGCCATTGAAATTCGGCGGTGACAGCTAATACAAATTTTTCATTAATTCCTTTAGGACCAAGCGTCATTAATTAGGGAGAGAAGTCATTAAGGGCGATTAAAAAACTTGAGCGAGGCATTAGGAATTTAAATTCGGCGAAGTTGACATAAATTTTTGCAACAGCGTTAAAGAAATTAGCGAAAATAACGGAGGATTTTACACTTTCAGCACCACCGAATAGGGTTTAAAGACTATACTTACTGGGCCAAAAATAAACGATCGGGTTTGGGGGAAAAAGCGAGGATGCTGTCGTCGCAGAACAGCTCCAGCGAAAATGTTGTGATGTAGCCCAAAAAAATATACAAACTGCCTACATCAACACATCGTTGCCGCAATGGAAAAGAAACACGGAGGGTTTCCCCGAAATGAAACTAGTGCACATTTCAGGCAAAGGAAATGGAACAACCGCGCGCACGGTAACCTACAAACGTAAACACGCTACCGTGAACTTTTTCTCGGCGCGCCGTTTTAAGGTCCGCCGGTGATTCGCGTTATAGGGTTAAGGGACCGCGCCCACGGTGGCGGATCACCCCGTTAGACGTCAGGAGCCACACGAGTCCCGGGAATTTGGGCACTATTTACTCGGCACGCTGTACCGGCACCACGATAAACACGTCGGTGGTACTCGGGACACGTCAAAGGAGATTCAAGTAAGGTCCGCGGGCGCGACTTACGCAACGTGACGCACGGGCACGACGTGACTGGGCTCGGGCGACGTGACACGGCGCGAGCGTGTCGCGTGACGGAGGTAGCGGCGAGTGGCCGCCGAGCGGTGCCGCGGGAGCGAGTGCGGCGAGCGGCGGCCGAAGTCGCACTGGCCGCCACCCCCGCGCGCCGCGCACGCGCGCTACCCCCACCCCTCTACCCATCCCCGATTGATGTAATATTTATCTTGGATTAGCAAACCGAATAAGTCGCGGCGCGGCGCGACGGCTAGCGAGTTCACTAGCCACCACCGAATCACTTTTGCGCTGTTTACAGCCTCGGGTTACGAGCTATGATTATGAAAGTGTATGCATTGTGGGAGGATTTCAAATTAAGTTGAAGTTTGGGGTGTTTGATTAGTGCCGCCCGGATCAAGCGGGTGCGGCTCGGGCGCGTTCGGGTGCGATCGGCGATGACGTCACGGCGGACGCACGCGCGGCGACAGGTGGGCGCAATGCGCCGCGCCTATCATATGATTATGACGTTTCTTTTGAGATTCGACTAAGAATGTGGCGGTGGAAATATCACTAAAATTATACAATGCAAAACCCATCGAAACTGAAACCACAATTCATAAACTTGACACACGTAAGGGTAGAGAGAAATTAACGCCAAAACGCTTATTTATTTAAAAAAAAAAAACCTCCAAATCTTCACATATCAGCATTAATAAACAGCATTGGATATTAAACACGATAGACTTTATTCGCAGTATTAAAAGGAAACGCGTATAAAATATTAAAAAAAAGCTAACAAAGCATCGACGCGGTCCTCTGCACGGATGAATTCTATTCAATCCGCACCGCTCCCCGCGAATATTGCCTCGTTAAAAGTTATAAAGTAAACAACAACAAAAATTAATACCATCCGACGCTCGGACGGATCAAAATTTAAAATTAACGCAGCGCCGCCGCCCGCCGAGCCAGTGCTGTAGAGCCGGCTGGGCGCCGTATCATTTTCGACGCTACGCACTACGAAGGGCGTGGAATTTTTGAGATATCACCGTGATCACTGTGTTCGGGCGTTCACTTTTAATTCGACTTAAACTCAAGCAACCCGATAAAAACCTCGACTTCGAAACCAATGCTGACCTATCACTTGCTCAACGTTAAGGAAAACATTGAGAGAAAACTTACATATTTCGAAATAAATAAAAATAATATTTCGAAGATACGTGAACGCAAACAGTAGTGTGGTCGCGTGGTTGAAAAATGGCAACATGGATTTGCACAAAAAAAAAAAAAAAAACAAATATCCTCTCACCCCAAACGCAGATACCGTCTCCGTTCCGTCGTGTGTAAAAATTATCTCGATTGGTCGTATATAAGCGACGGTGGACGTGCTACGAAATCTACGGACGACTATGCGCTACGGCCGCATCGACACTATGTCTTTCCGATAACTTTGTGATTTTACATATAAATACAATACACGTGTCACTTATGAAAATGAAAAACTACCACAGCTTACATTAGTATATTGCTATGCTTCTGGGCAACACTGCTATTACTAAAATATGTAGAAAAGCAAAGATTAGCACTATAAACAATTTAAATTTCTAAAAAAAGCAATGGCGACATCTCTCGTTCGAATTATCGTTGTAAAACGATATTCGAAGTTGTTTGTATGCTGGAAAGGATATAACAATAGATGGCGCCAATTGCTTCAAATGCTGATATAACAATAGTATGTTCGACAAGAAAATTGAACATCAAATGCTAAGAAAACAATGTAGAAAATGCGTTAAGATTTTCGTCGGTGTGGTAATCAGCCGTTTAGCTCAGTGGCTAGAGCATCAGGCCGCGAATGCCGAAGACGTGGGTTCGATTCCCACAGCGGCGACAATCTTTTCGCACTTTTTCTACATATTTTAATGTTCAATCTTAAGTGCAAAGATTAGCACTATAAACAATTTAAATTTCTAAAAAAAGCAATGGCGACATCTCTCGTTCGAATTATCGTTGTAAAACGATATTCGAAGTTGTTTGTATGCTGGAAAGGATATAACAATAGATGGCGCCAAGCATTGCTTCAAATGCTAAGAAAACAATGTAGAAGAATGCGTTAAGATTTTCGTCGGTGTGGTAATCAGCCGTTTAGCTCAGTGGCTAGAGCGTCATGCCGCGAATGCCGAAGACGTGGGTTCGATTCCCACAGCGGCGACAATCTTTTCGCACTTTTTCTACATATTTTAATGTTCAATCTTAAGTGCAAAGATTAGCACTATAAACAATTTAAATTTCTACTGCTATCACTGTCACCTTCTGTCATTATGTATTTATTTACTAAGAATAACTAATAATTATTCAAAACCAAAAGAGATAGTATACCATACTCAGTAATATTTTATCATTCTGGTTTTTTAAAGTTAACTTCAAGTTACAGTATTCAAGTTACATTAAAAAGGAAAATTATAAATATTTTGAAGTTTGAAAAAAAAATTATGAAAAAAAGATATGAGACATATCTCCTATGCTTTCATGGTGCATATAGTAGCTAATTGACCGAATAAGAATATAAATAAACGCCTTAGTCGTAGTGACAGCGCAGCGGGAAAAATAAAACTCGCAGAAACGCGAAACACAAAGGCTGAATTGCCTTTGTACTGTGCATTGCTCAGTTACTGAAAAGAACTGCTAAACTAATATTTCTGAAAGAAATTGAACATGTAAAATATGAAACACGGAAATTGTGAGGAAAGAGAATAAAATTAGAAATATATACATTTGATGACCAGGCGTTATTGAAAATTTATTCATCGTCAATTTAACATAATTGCTCTGTTAATCTAAACAATAAAGTATTCTCCTCAGTTTATTTCTCATCGCTTCACGCGGTAATACTCGTAACAACTTTTAAAATTAATTTTGGAATGGAAAAAGGTTGCATGCTTTTTAATATTTAGTCTCTGAACTGAAGGTTAAATTTATGAATCACCAGGCACCTTTATCTACATATTTTTAAGGTTTATATATTATACATATAAATATGATACGACTATTAATAACTATTGCATTTAGATATTAAACTAACAGATATAGAATAGACGGTAAATATATACTATTGCAGTTGATATACTATAGCTACTAGTGCAGTTGAGGAACCTACAAGCCGTCATTCTGTTACAATTAATCAAACGTCGTACACTTCTTCGAGCTTGCTCGGCCCTCAGAACTAGCGTTACGTAATCTACTTGAAAAATGAGCCAAAAACTCCTTACAATTCTTTGATTTATTCGGATCAAATTCTAAAGTGTCCAAGTATAAAAATAGTTCACTTGAATAAAATGTTTGGTAACATATTTCATTTCCTAAAAAATTAATGAAATAACTCCTGATTAAGCTATTCTATCTTTTGTAGCAAAATAGCGGATAAACTATTTTAACTCAATTTCAATTGAAAAATTAGATTACTTAAAATTATATTTAACTCAATTTTAATAAAAATCAAATCCTATATCTCCGTTCAGGGACAAGGTTTAATACATAAAAAATAAATAACGATATAAGAATAAACATATAACTTTAAAATATAAGAAACTTTATGCATATCGGCTGAAGAAGGGGTATCTTGTGACTAGAATACAAATCAGCAGAAACCCTCAGTGTATGTCATTTGACATTTTATTTAACAAGGAATATTGAAGGTCATATTTTATGTACAGACACATTTTATGTAATCGTAACTTACATAAGAAGACTTCAAAAGGTATACGTTATCTTTTTATTTAAAGGTGCTCTTAGGGTTCCCAAAGGGTAAAATGGGAGCTTATTACTAAGACTCCGCTCTCTGTCTGTCTGTCCGTCTGTCACCAGGCTGTGTCTCATGAACCGTGACAGTTAAAATTTTCACAGATGATGTATTTCTGTACACGTAAAAGGGGTGCTACGATCTATTCAAAGAAAACAATCTCACGCAATATCGAATAGCTTTGTGACCGGGCCATGTGTAGTGGATTAAAACCAATCCTATTAAGACAAATTAAACAGGGGAAGGATACCGAATGCCCCGAAAACACTTCAATCAAAATGTTTGCGGTGCAAAGGGGCGCCAACAGTGAAGTCGTCGGGTCTGCTCACATTGATAGGCGGTACCGGGTAGGTGCCCGCTACCGCCTATCAATTCGCCGTCGCAGTTTATTTGTTTAACATTATTTTACAACGCAGCACGTCCACTAAATTGACTCTGTTAAAAGTTGTTGAACCCCCGTTTAGAATGTAAAAACGCGAGGATTTATTTTATTTTATCTTATTAAGCTGCATTAAGCACTAAGTTATTGGCACTAAGTATTGGACTCGTTGAAAGTAATGAAAAATGTATATGCTATATATATATACATATGTATCATACAGGAAGAATAAGTTGTTTTATGAATTAAAATCATGGCAATGGTACTTCTCCTTCACACACTTTGTAATGACGAAGTACTGCGAAAAAGTAAATTTCTAATGCTATTTATTGTATCTATAGACGACTAACGAGTCGTCAATAGATACCATAAATACCACAACAGCTGCTAATCTATTGGTATTGGTACTGGTTTCGGCGCCAGGATTTATGGGTTCGATTCCCACACGGAGCAAGTACTTCTGCGAGCAACAGATAATTGTTTCAGATCTGGATGCCTATTACCAAGGAGGGTTTACTTCAGGCAGTAGCAATAACCATTAAACAACAGTACCTGGAGGACCTGTTTTTTTGGTAATTCATGTATTTTGGAAATTACATTTAGATACAAATTACTGAGTAATGAAATATGCATAATATTTTTCGATCTTACCGACGTAATAATAAGAAAATATGAACTGGTGTTTTTCACAAAAGAAAGAACTTTAAAAAAAGGGGAAAAAAATAACAAAATAACAAACTGACAAAAAATAAAACAATGATTTGCAATCGAAAAAAAGTAAAAAAATAAGCGTGTAAATGATCGTGATACAAACCACTGCCGTCTGTTTTGGGGCCCCCTGATTACCGACCGAGCTATTATAACATTTTTTTTGCGGCGAAATTTACCGTCATATTCGAAAGATATTTTTCATTCCCTGAAAACAGGGATAAAAGGACATTTTCTAAAAATGAAACCTAGCTAGATCGATTTTTCGCTCCCGAATCTACGCACATACTAATTTTCATGAAAATCGCTGGAGCCATTTCCGAGATTCCGATTATATATATACAAGAATTGCTCGTTTAAAGGATAAGATTATTTACATCTTGTACCGACCCCCACGAAGGTGGCATAAGGGCATATTAAAGGTTTTATGTTATCCATTAACATCAGCATCAAGTTTTACCAAAGCTCTGTAGTAAGGGAGAAATTTTCAATGCCCCTTGGCGCAGCCGGCCCCGCTACCGCTCAACAGCGTGCCCACTGCGTTAAGACTCCGCTCCGTTCGGGCGGACCACTTTTGCGCTCCAATTGCCGCGCCATTGTTGTGTGGAATTGTGCGTCGCTATTCGACCCGATGCCGCTCCTTACATACGAACGTTGCACGCACACAGATTGTCCATGGATCCTGATCGAACCCGACCGCGACGGATTTCCCGCGATCACGTTCGCTTATTTATGTGGGACGCGTTGACGCAATTTCCCCTCGCTTCCTTTGTTCACGATGTCTTCTAGTTGAAAGTTTTATCGGAGGCGTCATTGTCCCGGCGATGGCGTCTCTTTCTTTTATCTTACATTATTAAATTGCTCCGCGGAATAGGTACTGTTGATATGATTTTATCTTATTTAATAAAATACTCTTTACCTCTCTAAGTAAATATATTAAAACAAGAATAAAATAAGTGTGTAAAATAAGTCGATGGATGCAGGTGGCTCAGGATCGTACTTCGTGGCAGTCTATGGGGGTGGCCTATGTTCAGCAGTGGACTCAAACACGCTGAAATGATGATGATGATGAAGAATAAAATGAGATAAAGCAAAATTTTAAAGTATGCGTACTAAATGTTGCACCATTAAATTACTATTTGGTCAAGCGTTGCTGCTCTCTTTCCTGATGAGAGAGAGGGTCTTCAACATACGTACTCGTACGCTCGCACTGGTGCAACGAAGCGGCCGAATATAATGAGGTGTCGTATCGCTCAAGGATCCAGCCACCTGAACACGTTTTGAAACACAGAGCAGGTTTCTTTAAATAATCCGAAGGGCACCAAAACTCGCAATCGACATCATGCCAAAAATAGTTACGACGAAATAAATAACATTTATGAAAAATTAATAATAGTCACATCAATATAATGTAAACAAAAAATAATCAGTACAAATAAAAAAAAAATAACTACAAATGTCTACGTATAAGTTGTGTCCGGTGCAGGTTTTCTGTCCTTGAGAACGGAATAATATTACTTTGAAATAAACGATTTGAAAAAAGGAGAAAAATAAACTTTAGAGACCATAAATTTTAAAAAAACTCGTGAAGGATGTTAAAACTAATAAGCTTGAGTAAAGTTGTGGTTTGATTGAAGACATTTCTTACATATTTAAATACAAAATCGTACCTCATTCGCAAATACGACAATTAATAACGTCCGTTACTGGCACGTGACGTGAAAAAGATTAAAAAGCAAGTCTATGTTTAGCAAATTTCATGTGAGGCATTTTTTTTTATTTTGCAGCCGAACGGAACGCGCTCGCCTGCATCGTCCGAAAAAAAGTACGGCGGAAAATCATCGGCTGACGGGCCGACAGGCCCCGCGGGCCGTAATGAAAACGCATTGTGCGCGCGGGCGGGCAAAGCTATTATGGGTCGGAATACGGCTTTACGCAGATGTAGTACTCAATCCAGCGAAAGGTAACTGAAATAAATATAGGTAAGTAACTAAGTGAAGTAAGGTGATTTTTTTTAATGTGAGAATGGGGCAAACGACCTGGCGGTTCGCCTGATGTTAAGCGATGGCCGCCGGCCACGGAAATTTGCAACACTGGTTGCAAATGTGTTGCCACATAATATGTGGGCCCCGGCTACCTCACTCATCAGACGAAACGCAGGAGTGTAACACTTCCACTTTACGCTGGTCTTCTGTGAGATTGTGGTACTAACCTGGGCGGACCTGCCCATTCGTACAACATCGAGTACTACATACAGCGTGGTCCTACCACAGTTAAAAGTGAAATAATATAACACCGAATCATCAGTGAAACCATTTTTATCACTAACATTGCAATTTCACTATGGTAGGGCCACGCAAAAATCTTGCCATGTGTGTGTGTGTGTGTGAAAAAAGTGCCATCAGCTCACAGAAGACCGGCGCGAAGTGGAAGTGTTAAACTACTGCGTTTCATCTGATGAGTGAGGTTAGCTGGGTCAACTACAAGCTGGAAAATATTGTCAACTTCTTACATAAAAAATACATGCATTCAAAGCAACCCAAGACAACGTGTTACTTCTGTCATCACAAACGTCCCAATGAATCGAAAATAAACAGTCAAACAGTCTTTATGCCGTTTCTGTCTGGGGATCGAACTAAAGACACCGCGGGCAAGATTTTTAGAGCTCCCCGAACAATTAAATAACTAAAATCAAGACATAAAAAAGTAAACATACATATGGAAGTTTATGCATATTTCTCCAAAGAGAGCTTACGTCACCAAACTAACACAAGTAGGTACTTCGTTTTTCATACTACTTTTCATTACTTTTTACAAAGTCATAGAAGTCTAAAAGTCTGTACGATAGTCTAATGACACAAATATATTTTAACGATATATGTAGAAGTTAACTTTAACTGGACAAATAAATCGTTCTTACACTCTTCGGTACGCCAATTCTTTGCCTTTCAATGTTCCGTTCATTGTTAAAACCAAACAAACAGCTTTCCTTGTATTTTTTACCTATAGCCTACCAATATGTAGTAAGAATAAATGATTAAATAAACCGCGACAGGCAAACAGTTCACGTTCGGTCATCAAGCAAACCACGCGTTCTCAAATTATCATACCTAATTATCATATAATAAATATCATATTAATAACAATTTCGTAATAAAGTGTTCTCATAAATTCTATTATCATTTTTATCATCATTACCAGTGTTATGTAGGTGCTAACTCCTAAGCCCTAACGACCGTCGTGGGTACAATTAGTACTGCATTAATTATTTTTCATCATAATTTTATATACAACAAAGCAAGAGATACAAAAAAAAAGCCTAGACAATCTTAAACAAAAAGGCCTTGTGCCATTTCAAAATGCATTCAAATGTGTTCAAAATTTACGTAAAGATTAGGAAATAAACTTTCACGTTTATATCATATTCAATTTATGCCTTAAAAACAAACGAACAAATTCAAACATTTGAACAAATTCCAAGTGAATTGAACAAACATTTGCCTGCTCTAAGTTATTGCGACGCCGTGAGTGGACTGGGCAAAATTGAGGCAGCGCGTGTATGGTCAAATGCAGTTCATTTAACTTTCGCCGTCAGAAACAGCCACTATTAAAACTTTGGAATAAAGCTATGGAGAATATGGTAGCGACATCAAACAAGGAAAATTCCCGTGAAGGTTTGAAAGAAAAATATTACATAGTTAAATACAAAATTTATTTTGACTTTACGAGTGAAAGAATGTACTTATAACTAATATCTATCGACAGGCGGTAAATACACTGTCACGTATATTAAAAATGTTAAAAAGTTCAAAAGCAGGTGAGTTCGGAATTAAGAAATGTAAACGAAAAATATATTTAACAACAAAATACTTAAACTAATAACCGAAAAAAAGTCTAAATATTTTAAGTATAGTGAAGCGAAGTTAAACATATAAAAACAACGATTTCCTTTACAAATAACCCTAAATACAGAAATAAAAATTTGACAAATAGTAATATAACTAGATAAATTCCTAAATGTTATATGATGTTGATCAGGAACTATCTGTGTATGATTTGAAATATTACGGGGTCAAACATAAAACGGAGTTCGCAATTAATTAGACAGGAATTAAGTGAAAATGGGCGGCGGCTTGTTCTCTTTCAACTTTTGCATTACCGACCTCGGGGGAACATCAACGACCTTATTACTTGCTACCAAGTAACCATTTTACAGTTTGATTCGCTCAAAGTTTAAATATACTCTGACACTGATTTAATTGACGCTCTGATTGACGCAAATATACCTTTAATTTTATTGTCATACCGTGGAGGTTGATAATCACTGTCGCCTAGATTAGACAACGGTATGAATATTTCGGACAGGGGTGATTCGACGTAGCATTTTGGTTGGCTGAAATAATAGTCTCAAATATAAGTTGACGTGATCGTTCTTTGCAGACTTTACTCTTATTTTGTGGAATCCGTTATTTGTAATTAATATTTTTAAGCTTTTACAATCTCCTTGCACTTATATAATAATAGCAGTTTACGGCAAAACGTCCGATTACCAGCCCATCAGGCCGAGTCATGCAGCTAATAAACCTAAATTTCAATTTCAATATTGAACAAGACTTGGAATTTTCATGTCGAAATTAACCTGCCACAGCTTTCGGAGTGAAACAGCGGGGTCAATTGAGTAAAATCTCCGTACCATTTTTAAAATGTAAAATAGAGACGCTAAATAATCACCGAAAGTTTGAACCATTATATAAAAATCAACATAAATGATGTCCAAAATTCAACTTAAAACAAAAAGAATTGTATTAAGTATTATTTCAACGTTAAAAAAATTATAGCCTCGTATAAACAATTATATAATATATATTTTAATATGTACATCATAACACGATACGATTACCAACAAGCGTACGTACATAACGAAAAATACATCTAAGCTTAAAACTGAAATAATTATTAATGCAACAAAATAATGTCAATATAAACATCGTTTTCTACTCAAGTAACTACAAAAATAAATAAATAAATTATATTACAGACACAGAGCCGTGCCGTACGGAGATACAGACGGATTCATCGGGCTAGGGTCTATTAAAATGGACAGTTCACTATAGTAACGGCCTTCAAACGAAACGAAATACGCCGAGTGCTGGGTTCGCGGCCCAGTAATTAAGCCTTTACATCCGAAGCAGGCGCTCGATGCAGTTTTCTGGGAGCGGCAAGAAAGCCGGCACAGGAGTCACTAGCGGGCGAGTGCGCTTCCGAGATAATTACACCCGCTCGCGAAACCGTTGAGCGGGGCACTTTGTTGGGCTGCATGGGGGATTTAAGGCCCATTTACATGGTGCCAGTTTCTTGCCTGTTGTATACAATTAAATTGAAGCAATAAATGAGTTGCATGGTCTAAACAACAAATGGTCTAAACAATTATTGCGCGCAATTTATTGCATTCAATTATTGCTCTTGTATGTTCAAGAAAATGGCATCGTGTAAATGGGCCTTTACTCTCGAAACGTTACGTCTACCGCGCGGCCCGAGAGGGAATGCTCTGATATGTTTTAGCTGATCGGTAATAGGCCAGTGCACAATTTTTGAAAGAGACATCCGAATTTCAACAATAATTTATTAATGATATGAAAAATTCTAACTACCCTTCTTTTTTATCACGACAACCATATAGAAATTATGTACTCGGCATGACATAATTCCTGAGACGAATCTATTAACACTGAATCTGTTGAAATC